TTTTTTTTTTTATAATAGAGGTAATCAGCCTCATTTCGAGGTCTTGTCGAATACTAGTCGTTTTTTGAGAGTAGAGTCGTATCGAAAATTTCATAGCATTGGCTAAAAATTGATTCAACTAGTGTATTAAAATGGGAAAACTTTGCAGCACTGGAGAGTTTTCGACAGTTTTCGTCGTCTACCTTTTCGGCCGTGCATTTTGGCATAATTTACGACGTACGCAATGACGTTGAATAATATTATTGCGTCCATTAAAACAGTTACATGGATCACTAATGTTCTTTTGTTTCAATTCTTCTTAGACCAAATAAACAAATGAAATATCACCATGCTCCTCAATCACCTGCAATGACACCGTCCAAAAATCCCCATGCCAGATCACAAAAGAAATTCAATAAAAAGAAAGAGAAATTGTATTGCATTTGCCGCACACCATACGACGATACAAAGTAAGTTATTTTAGTCCAAAACATGCCAAAAATAATAACCAAATTTGCTACGTAACCAAAATTTGCACTCTCGTTCCAATTAGATTCTATGTTGGATGTGATCTGTGCAGTAACTGGTTCCACGGTGATTGCGTGAACATTACAGAGGAGGCGTCGAAAAAACTATCTGAATTCATTTGTGATGACTGCAAACGTGCACGCGAGACTCAAGAACTATATTGTTCATGTCGCCAACCCTATGACGAGTCACAGTTCTACATTTGCTGCGATAAGTGTCAAGATTGGTTCCATGGACGCTGTGTGGGCATTGTGCAAAGCGAAGCCGAATTTATAGATGAGTATATTTGTCCCCAATGCCAGCGCAACAACTCTGTGAACTTGGCGAATATGAAGAATTTGTCCGAAAACGAGACGATCGAATTGAAGAAGCTTATCAAGCAAATACAAGTAACACGAAAAACAATGCTCTTTAAATAGTTTTGTAAGATTTGAGTAAACATTTTTATTTTTTACTTGTAGGCACACAAGAGTGCCTGGCCATTTATGGAACCAGTTGACCCAGAAGAGGCGCCCGACTACTATAAAGTCATAAAAGAACCTATGGGTGTGTATTAAATAACATATTTTTTCAAATTTTTTTTTACCTTTTTCCTGTTTCAATAGATCTACAAAAAATTGAAAAGAAATTGGATACAAATGCATACACAAAATTATCGGAATTTATTGGTGATATGACAAAAATATTCGACAACTGCCGCTACTACAATCCAAAAGATTCATCGTTTTATAAGTGCGCCGAAACTTTGGAAGCATACTTTGTGCAAAAAATTAAAAATTTCCGGGAAACTGTGGTTAGTCAAAACTAAACAAAACAAAAAAAAAACACAAACAAAAGAAAGCTAAATTCACTGTTGTAACAAATGCTGCACCAAGCCCATTTTGCGATCACAGTGTTGTTGTGGGTGCAAATAATGTAAATAGCTATAATTGTTGCATAATCTATGTAAGTACGTATGTATTACATATGCATATTTTGATTAAAGCACACAAACACACATAGATTTACTATATATTTAGACTTTAATCGCGTTTTTTTTTTGTTTTCATTTGAAAGCATTCATCAGCAAGGAAACTTATAAAGTAAAGCTAAAAGATCGTGTAGAAATCATAAATATTACACGATGTACATTTTCTCTTGTAAATAATTGGTCAATGCATTTAGCTGCGATAGTATTAAGAGCAAAATAAACGTACATACATTGTATTGTATGCTTTTTTCTTTTTTAATTTGAAAAATATTAATAAATACTAAACAAAAAAATACAAT